AGCTATTCCCAAAGATTATCACCTATTTCAGATGACCTTTAAAACTTCCCGACAAATGATTGCTTGTGAAATTTACAGTCCTAAAAGCCGCATGTAAACAATTCTTTTTTTATTTTTTTATTCTTTTGACTTACAACCAGATGATATCAAAAAAATTAAGCGAGAGTACATTGTTCAGATCAATTAACCGAAATAATAGCAACTTTAAAGTAAGTGCAAACATAAATTCATAATAAATTACTATATTGATACAACAAAAAATTAAGAAAGCTTCATTTTGTTTGTGCATCCTGTCAAAGAATTGCAAAAGGTAAGACAATAAATAACAAAAGGATATAAGATTAAGACAATAAATGACAAAAAGATATAAGATTGTGAATACTATTTATTAATGTAGAAGCTAAAAAATTACTGAAGAAGATGAGAGTTGCTACCGCCACAAATTCCACAAATGTCGTGAACAATGGTGATTATCTCTTAGCAGCCTCAAGCAATATACCTTAATGAAGAACGATTTATGGAAACACTAAACTCAGCATCATTGGACAAATTGGGTATCAAATTCCTAGTTTTTACAAAATATACAAATTAGAAGGAGAAAATTGAAAAAAAAAAAAAATGATTTTGAAGGAGAAAGGAGAAGTACTTTCATGAAAATGATAAAAAGATGTTATTCTAATAAACACCAATATAGATCGATTACTTCCTGCAACTAAACGGGAAAACCAAGTACACATGACTGATGATTCCATTCTCAAGAGATGCCAATAAACAACTTTATCAATTACAATATTCATAAATAGATCACCTGAATAGAGTAAAATTTCCAACACAAAATTGGTACCAGCCATAAGCATTCATATTGAGTGAAGCCAGCAAAAGTAAAGAGTCAGAAACACCAACTAATCATTGAACTATTCAAAAAGGGTAACTTACCTATTTACAAAACGATTCACAGTTGGTTGGACAAAAATATAAACCCTGCAATGTAAGGCAAAATATAATATGATTAAGACTTGTTGAAATATATAACTGACAGAAAAGAGATATCTTGTTAATTCAGGCTATGTGGAGATTTAAATTGGTAAATACACTCATAAGAAAAACAATGCAAACTCTACATAATTTGTGGTGTCTGTTAGACTGTTATTCATGGCCCGTTAAGTCAAACATGACAAAAAATAAAATAAATAATAATAATAACTAATTACTCCATCACACAGATAGCTATAAGATGAAGCTGAGACAAAACTTGGTCTACTCCCTACGTATTACATGGGTCTTGAGTAACAAAGTTTATGAATTAAAAAAAAAAAAATTAAAAAGATAAATTTATTAGTTGTTATTTTAAGGTTTTCAATATTTGAAAACTATACTATTAATAGTTTTTCTTCATAATTACATGGTGTTGGATTAAAACGTATACATACTAAAAGAAGTATTATTATTAAAACTTTAATTACATATTTAAAAAGTACACCATTAAGGTTATTAAAAAAAGTCAAGACTAACACAAATTATAATAACACAATATTTTTTTTTTGTTAATTTATTAGCAATACTCTAATTAATTACAAAAGCAAAATATATAAGTTAAAAGTTGTAAATAAGTGTATATTCAAAAACAAAATTCAAGCCTGTGACCCTGTAGAAGAACCACAAATATGGAGACAATAACAAAATATCAAGAATGCGTCGATAAATAAACCCACTCACAATTATGAATTCGAGGGAAAAAAAAACCTCTGACTTAATATAAAAGCTAATCCAGTTTCAAATAGAAATGAGCCACANAAAAAAAAAATGGAAACAAAATTAAGAAGAAAAAAAAAGAAAAATAGAACCTGCAGTAGGCGGTGAGAGGCTTGGCAAGCTCAGTAACAACAATGGAATCGACCACTTTGTCTTCAGCCTTGCGGATGTCGGGGTTGATGGCTTCTGCCCCCACCGCCATCACCCATGAAGTGCTTTTTCTTCTTCATCCTCATAGTCAAGAAGCTCTTCTTCCAAGCCGAGTTACACTTTCAGACTTCAAACAATCTGCATTTGCTAATATAAATCAAACTAGTATAACACCCATGTATTACATGGGTGGGGACGATGTCTCATCCCGTCATAAAAGTGGGATGAGTATGCGGACAAGTTAAATCCAAGATCGTTCCGGACCGCGCCCACCCCTACCATAAATAATCAACATATTTATAGATAATCCAAACCTATCCAAGCCTAATAACGAAGCATGTAATTTTGCCACATATGATCCCGAAGCATACGAGACTGCCACATAGGCTCAACACGTTCTCAATTAATATATAGGGGGATATATGAAATTATTTTAAACTCCAGAACCCCTCAACACAATCCTTTTGCAAGCCCTGCAGTCATCTTTCTACTTCTTTGTCAAGAGCAGTTGCTTTGTATGTTAGATATTACAGAAACATCAGAGAACAAAGAAATGAGAAATGTCGTAATGACTAATTCTTAGGAATTAGCTGAGCTTCATAAATCAGTCGTAGGTAAGTGTAATTTATGCCGCAAAATTTTCAACACTAATTAAACAAATACAATAGAATTTGCGAGAGAAGTATCACTAATAAAGGAAGTGTTGAAATTCTAAAAAGAACTATCTTTAAGTTGCAAGTAACTTACCATCTACAATTTATGGTACAGACAAATCCGCTACAGCTTGTATCCTAATCTTAAAATTAAAAGCATCCAAAAGCATCAGTAAAAAGATACCAAAAACAAAAGCAACAACAATACATGTTCATCTCTTTAGGCCATCTCCAACCGAAAAATTCATACTCAAACCCATTTTGCAGTAACTGTCACATTTTGCAGTAATTTATCTCCAGCCGAAAAACTCATTTTCAACCCAAAAGAATATTCTCACACATCAAGTTTTATAACTTTTCAATACTACCCCACATATTTAATAATTCTACACATTTAATCCAATATTATTTTATATTTGATTTGAAAAATATATAATAATTTATTATAGATTGATAATTCGTACATATGTAAAATATTGGAATACATATTTTTTCAGTTATATTTTTCATATTTTAGTTTATTATATACATCTAATTTGTATTTCATGGTTTATAATGTTATTTTTCATTGGTAAGAAAATTTATTATATATATATTCTTTATGTTAGTATTTAATTTATGAAAAGATAAAGGATAAATATTAGTACGTTAATATATTTAAAAAGAAAAAGATAAATATGACAATTATGTAAATAAATCATAATGAACAGAATACAATATTACATAGGCAATAAATTTGTTAGAATACTGAATGACTCCCATAAATTTTCTTATCTAAGTTTAGATAATTAATTTTCTTCATTTGAAGAATTATTTATCTTTTTTTTTTCTATTATTGTCCAATTATGTAATTAATAACAAACATGGGTGTGAGATTGCAATTTGAAAATTACAAACGCAAATTTTGCGTTGAAACGCATATATGCGTTTATTTGATGAGAGAGAGTGAGCAAAACGCATTTTGAGTTTGCGTTTGGTGTTCGGTTGGATCAATTTATCTCCCTCATTTTGCGTTTTGGGGTACGGTTGGAGTTGATCTTAAATCTCGGATAGACGTCGCTTCCGGCGAAAAAAAGCATAATGATGGATGCTTGTATAATTCAACTTTTTCTCGCTCTCTCTTGTCCTGCTTTTCTGTCGGAGGGCTAGGCTCATACTCCCACCCGACACGCTGCCTTCGCTGCAATCGACGACGCGACTTGGCCTTTGTTCAGCGAAAAATGGAGCTCCGACGCGAAATTTCTTGGAGAGAAAAAGAGAGTTTAGGGTTTGAAAATTGGAGAGATTAATATATTTAAGAATCCATCGTCAATTTAGAAAAGTGAAGAAGAAGCACCCCAATTTACGGAAATCCAATCAATGATACATTGACTACAGCGTGGAGAAGAAGGAAAGACTACGGGAAAAGTGACAGGTGAAGGCAATATCACATCGCACAGGATTTTTGGGTAGAAAATCTTACAGAACTACGGGGCGGCGGACTGTTGCACATTGAAATTTACTTTCACACCCCCAAAAAGGCTGGATAAGGTAAGGACATTTTAGTCAACTCCTTACGTGGGCATGACACATTACTCATACATTGCATTGTGTATTTGTGTGGAAATTTTTGAAGGACAATTTAGGCATTTAGAAAAGGAATACTTTAATTTATCGAAAAAGACCCATTAGTTGTATTTGTGAGGAAGAAAATTAAAGGACAATATGGTAATCCTTAGAGAAATGGACACTTGTCACCTAAACAAAGAGCCATTTATCGCCTATAGAAGGCCTTTTATATTTTCATATAGATAGTAGAGATAACAAAAGCAGAGGTAAATAATAATAAGACATAAAGAAACGCCCAAACAAAGTCCAACACAAACAAAACAGCAGTGGCAAAATCATAATAAGTGAAGAACACGTGTCAACTTTTAACATTGTCCTTAAAGGACACATGTCAACATATAAAAGCCATACACTTCTTCATATATAGATACTAGTTGTTTCACGCCGTGCACGCACGGCGGACTTTAATTTAGTCTAAAAATATAGAAAAAATGTCATCACTTGCAATGATCAATTGAATTTATATATATTTTTTAAACTATTGTTAGTAAATTTACACAAATCAACAAAATTAGAGAAAAAATGTAGAAAGTTTATCTTGAATAAACTCTGGCTTGTAATTCTTGCAAAATTAAAATTAATAACAAAATACCTCATGCAAGATAAGAACAGCAAATCAACATCCAACCAGATTTTTGAGCTACAAGCCTAAATGAAAAATTTCAACCTCTGCATAATCTAAGAAATTATTGATGGCGGTTATTTTTTGTACTGCATTTGAAAATAATGCCTTCTTTATAAATCATTTAATTATTTTACATATATTAAAATACTAACAAGTATTCAATTATTCAACTATAAAGAAATTCACTCATATAAATGAGATAATTACAAAATTTATACTGCAAGCAATTTTAGAGTATCCGGAAGAACTCGGATGACGTGAAGTTGTAAGCAAAATCGTAGGATCTCTATCGGCAGCATTTGCATATTTATCAGCGATTGTTGAACAAGGAACTACATCCAATTAAACATTTCAGCTCAAATTTTCAACTAAAAAAAACCACAACAATAACTGAGCTCAATAGGTGAACTTCACAAATTATTCCATCTACTAAGCAACTGGCAAACAAAAACACCCGATACCCCAATCATCAGCCTCACATCACCCATTAAATTCGCCAACCAAGCCGCAATCCCATGTTCAGCGCCTTCCCGACCCTCAAACCCAAAAAAGGCCGGCAAACAAAATTAAATTGAACAACAAAACATAGAAAATGAAATAAAATAAAAACCTATTGCAATCCAAATTTACACTAAACCAAGTTGGTCGCGAGTAGTACCAATAGTATTTTCATCTTCGGGGTCAATTTCCGGACGGAGCGTCCCCTCTTCATTTCTGAGCTTGGTTGGTATTGGTTTTCTCTGTTCAATAAAATCAGACTCTAAAATCAACCTAAAAACACAGATTCTGATACTCGTCAATTTACATCTCTCCTCTCCCTGTGGTCGAGACAGACTCTAAAATCAACCTAAGAACACATTTTTTTTTTGGTGAAAAACTGGGATTTTGTAATTATTATCGTCAATTTAGATTCAGAACAGGGGAAATGAAGTTAAAACCTGCAAAAGCTTCGCGAATTTTGTGCTTCTTCTCATAGAGCAAATGCTCTTTGCCCTCAAAGCTTTTCCGATAAAGATACTCCCTCCCCAGCCTCACGTTTCTTCTCAACATTTCTTCTTTCACTGCCAACAATACCCTATAAGTATAAGGTTTTGGAAGTGCAACAATCACGCTCATGGGATCACCCCCATATTGTATCAAACAACAAATTTCTAGAAAAATATAAAATGTCTCAAGCAAAAAAAATCTGGAAAATAACAAGGAAAAAAATAATTTACAACAAAACTCAATCATCAAATTACACACAAATCCGAAACGTGTACACATGAGATGTATTAACTATCAATAAAAAACAGGAATCGAAAACCACGAATCATCATACATCGGCTCCTACTTGAATCAACCTTTTCATGCACAAGACCTTCCCATGCATTGCGCCGATTAGTAACAACAATTGTATCTTGATTGAGTTCACAAAACACACATCGAATATAAAAATTACTAAACAAAAAAATAAAATCAAATCCAGAAATGAATTTGTCTACTTGTGTCGAATGAGGATATCCGGATTCCAAAACCGATCCAGAAGCGTCGAAAGAACCTAACCAAGCCAAAACAAAAATCAAACAAACAAAACATCCTCAAACTAACAAAAAAAAAGGCAAAAAAAAAAAGTAAACAAAGACCAATGAACGGGCTCTCATTTGAACCCTAACCTTAATCTGCCACCCACGGCCACCACGTGGAGCACGGAAAGCATTCAGCGAAGCTTTTTCTATTCCAGCAGGTTCTGGTCCTCATCCGCCATTGTCTCGAGAATCTGGAGTTCTCCAATTCGAATTGTGCTGAACAACTGGGTCTCCATTATAATCAAGATTCCATGAGATGCTTATGTCAGAGCTAGGTCTCCACTTTAATCAAAACAATCCATATATTACTAAAATGGTAGAATAAAGCAATATAAAACTGTAGCAGACGATAAAGCTTTTAACAGAAACATTAAATTTAAATGACACACGTAAATTGTATAGTTATACTCTCAAAAAATGACCAGAGCAGTATATTATCTCATTTTAATCCATTAAAATAAAAATTGGAATAATAACATTATTTAATTTCATTTGACAAGGACAACAAAATAACATTAGCAGAACTGACTGGTTCAGCATAAACCAAAAACATCAGATTGATAAATTTACAAAAGTGCTGCAGGAACATACATGCATATACATGCCATGCAGATCAGTCAAACAAACATAAGAATTTTCCTACAATACATTATTAAGCATAAATATGAAAAGTGAATCACAAAACATGCTTTTCCTTATCCCAAACTGATGGTTATGGCCAGAATTTTACCTCCGGTAGAAGCAGGGAACAGGATAAAAAAGAAAAAAGGCAGCGATCAAAAGAGGTTCTTAGGTTTAAAGATTTTTTCTTTGAAGTTAAAGAGAGCCGCCAAAAAGGAAGAAAGATTACCCCGTCCACGGTAGTCGTTGGAGTGAAACATCTGGAGCTCAGCCAAATTGGCTTTACCCTTGCTGGAAAGTGAGGATATCCCTCAACCCCCCCTGCCTCATTTCCCAAACCCTTCCTCAAATCCTTAATCACAGAGCAGGACAAGAAGGTGCCCTTCACCTGGTGGAACAACAATTACCATATTGATTGCTTTCCATCCTCCATGAGATCCATCAACAACCTTCATATGAGAAAAATGCTCGACAAAAACAATATTGACCACAAAAAATGTCGATCTCAATGAATCCCCAACAGTTTTAACAATAGAAAGAAAAATANTGGTTTTGATATTGGAAAATAACTCAACGTTTTTAGAACATTTTGTTTTTTGGTAATTAAATCGAAGAGATTAAGGTACCTCGCCAAAAATGGAATAAATGATCCATGAATCGTAAGTCCCTCATTAATTTTCTCTGAGCGCCTTCTCTCGGACAAAACATGGTATATATTCGTACAGAAACATACTGCATAAGAAATAGAAATTCTAGAACTTAAAACCCAAATAACAATCCAATAAAACAAAAGAGAACAACTTCTTGCACCTTGCCGTATATTATCACCCAAATCAGACAAAGCCATTACATTACATCTGCACGTGCGACCACTTCTGCAACATCTACGTAGAGAGGAAAGCAGCCTGGAGATACATTAACAAACTAAAGTCTTTCCGTCACACATCCAAAACCATGTGAACCAAAACAACACAAGTCCTTTCAATTTGGATTGAGTAGCAGATTATTTTTCCAGGAAAATAAATCATCAAAATTTGCGAACTAACCTGAAAGCCAAATGAATACTGCAAGAAGTCATGTCCAACGCCTTTGAAGCTGATATAGGAAAAGTTCCAGGTAACTTAGGAAAGCCCCTGAACTATTTCAATGAAGGAACCGCAGCTTTAACCTGATGTACAAATAGCCAATTAACCATTAAAGGAACAAGATAAGAAAAATATCACATTAGAAATTGAGCTCGATCGCCTCAGGGAAAGACACAATAGGAGTAGTTATAGTAGGATCATCCAAAAGAATTATGTTATAGGGAACTAAATCATCAGTCATCGCTGCATCTGACTCCATTACACGCTTCAGCTGAAAAGCAAACCACACCATTAGCAGATCGTAACTAAAACAAATTGGTCATATAGCATAAGAGACAACCATGATATGGGATATACAGAGGGAGAGGGCAGAGAAAGAGCTGCTGAGAAAGAAGAAACATTAACAGTGTTATAAGTATCACATTTGCTGCAAAATGCTTTAAAAACAAATTATCCTATCGTTGGTGCATAATACAGACAAAAGCCTGGTTCAGGTTTCAAGGCTGGCAGTGAGCAACAGAAGGCAAAAGTTCTATGTTAGATGGAGCAAGATAATAGAAAAGAGCTCAAACTTTCAATGGAAAGTCAAAAAACACAGTTTAACCCCCATTGCACTTCATCGGGGCAATAAACCACAATAGGAATTCAAAGATTCAATGAAGCAGTGACAATAATTCAAAAATAGTACAAAAGATCACTGGGTTGTTAACCCAATAATTTATGATTCTTGAGGTGGAAAAAGGAAAAAACGAAAATGAACAAAAGAGTACCAAGCTAGCGCGTCCACTTTCAAACCATTGTATGCTCGTAAGTTTATTCTCTTCTGGTGCAGCAAGTGTTGAATCCGGCATTAGCCTAAATTTATGTGCATGAAAACTATTAAGCACTAACAATCAATATATATGATCTTATCATTCATTAAACTGGCCAAAAATTCTATCGCTTACTTACCTAAAACTCATTGTAGCCAAATTAAAGTTTTTAACTCCTGAGGGGAACATACACCATTTCTTTCACCATAAAAGCTAAGAATTTATTGCTCTCTTTTTTCTCTTTCTATAGACCTTGCAAACACTACGTGCTTCTCAGACCATGTTCTAGCACAAGTTAAAATTACATAACAAACAAAAGGATTAAACAAATGAAAACTCACTTGGCTCTCTCAAGTGCTAATTCTGTTCAAACCTCTCTCTCCATGCCAAAAATGTCTGGACAGTCACAGCTTCTCCATGTGGCACAATCGCCTGAAGAAGAGAAACATACTGTGAAATAACGAGCTAAGTGACAAAAAATATTTTATCTCTCAATTGAGGTCCGTTCATGCAAGCTGCATTTATAACCCATGCAGTACCTATACGACGTCGTTCACAGGTAAAGTAACCAAAGGCCAAAACGACGTCGTCCTTATTTACAACGAGCCTTTCATCTATTTACACACACACAGTCACTTTCACCTATATGTACATATGCACTTACACACTCACACACATATGCACTCATAATATTCAACACCCCCCTCAAGCTGGAGTGTGGGGAGACATGCACACACCCATCTTGGACAAAAGACGATGAAACACTCCCGGTGACAGTAGCTTGGTGAAGAAATCTGCTAGTTGGGCACAGGAATGAACATAAGCTAGCTTAATAAAACCAGCCTTGAACTGATCTCGAACAATGTGACAGTCTATCTCCAAGTGCTTGGTTCTCTCATGAAAGACGGGATTGGCAGTGATGTGCATAGCAGCCTGATTGTCACACCACAATGTAATTGGCAAAGATGGCTGTATCTGAAACTCCTTGGCCAAAGCATTGATCCATTGCAACTCTCACACAGCTGTCCCCATTGCTCTATACTCTGCCTCAGCTGAGGATTGTGCCACTGTGACTTGTTTTTTACTTTTCCAAGAGAGGAGACTATTGCCAATGAAAACACAGTAACCTGTGATTGATCTACGAGTATCTTTACAAGTAGCCCAATCAGCATCACAAAAGCCACTCACAGTAGGATCTGACTTAGAGCTAAGCAGCAAACCAAGAGAATCAGTACCTTTAAGATATTTAAGCACATGAATGGCTGCTTCCCAGTGTTCAGTGAAAGGGTTATTCACAAATTGGCTTAACTGTTGCACTGCATAGCTAACATCTAGCCTGCTCATATATTCAAATACAGAAGTCTTCCTATCAACCTTGCACTGGACAGTGTCTGGCACTCGCAGCCATGGAAATCTACCACAAAGATGAATCGATGCTTATTTAGACTCAAGAGAATTTCCTACAATCTACGCTCAACCGTAATGCAATTTCAGTATATTTTTCAAATTTCATTCAAAATTGGATAAATAAATAAAAAATACTTAGCAAGATCTACTAACCACAAATTTCAATCGTGTAGACAAAAACCCACAAATTTCATTTAGGTACAGCGGATCATTTTCGTCGCGCCAAAGCTCACGTGCTTCACGGCGGTGGAACTGCCGGGGAGAGGTGGCGGCTTCGTTAGGCGATTCTGCTCTTTCCGGAAGGAGCTTGGGAAAGGAAATGGACTTCCACAGTGGCTTGGATGTGGGGTCACCGGTGAGGTGCTTCTCGATGGGTGGGTTGTGGCGCTTTTGGTGGCGCTGGCCCATGGTTGCGGCCGCAGGTGGTGGGTGACTGGGTTTACATCACCGGAGAGATTTTTAGTTGAGAGAGAGAGCGTCGGAGATGATTTTTCGTAGATTGAAATCATAGCTTTTTTTGGGGGCTTTTTGACTGATTCATTGTTGCGTGTGGGATGGTCTGCTCTGAAGAGAGTGAAAGCAAGAGTGAGATGTTAAAGCCACAAAATGCAGAATGAACACAACCTCAAGAAGTCTAATCAGTAAAGAAATGATGGAAGATGTATATGATTGAACACGCTACCAGATTTTCTGCGAGGAAATCCCGCGAGGAAGGCAACAAGAGAAGAAATGAAGCGATATTACGTAGTGAATGCAGCTGGCCCTTTTAGTAAAAAAACATACCAATTGAGGTGCCATCTGATTGACCCAATTGGTCTTCAAATTTTAGTGGCAAAATTGTAAAAAACAAAAAGACACTTGTCAACTTTTGAAGACCACAAAAATGGACATGTGTCACTCATAGAAGAGGCATAACTCTTTCATATATAGCTAAGAGAGATATGTGCAATTATATATTATACATATAAAATAAATAAAAAATTATATATTAATTAAACCGGTTCGACCGATTCGACCACTGGTCGGACCAGTGAACCGGTAGCTTCACCGGTTCAATGACCGGTTCGGTTTTGAAAACCATGCTTATGACACATACATACCTACAGTAATATCTGTTGATTCAACTGTTCATATACATATACTGATATACATATCTACACTGGTATCTATTGATCCAAGGGTGAAAATTGATTCACTGTTGTATCACAGACATACACATACCTACACTAATATTGTTGATTTTATAGTAAAATTGATGATTGCAGTTTGTACTGAAGTAACCAGCAGGGTGTCAGTGCAAAAGGTGCTTGGGCAGCATCGACCCTTCCACAGTGCAAAAGGCACTCACCAATCTTGTGCCACTCGTGATGAACATCACAATAATTCAAAGATAAAAGTCTATGGATATTATGCATCTATGAGTAGGCAAAATTGAAAGAGAAAAAAATAAAAATGCAAATGCATATTCGAGCCTGCGTTGGATAGTCCGACAGAAACTCGAAAGCTGTTGACCACAGAATAATATGCAACAAATGATTGTCAACGTGGACAACTGACACATTCACCTAAAATTGCCACGATTTAGGACGAATATGCCCTCCAATTGAATGTGAAATAATTTCTTATTCTCTCGCAAATAGTAAATTCTTGGTGGTGACTAGTTTTGATACCAAGTGTAGGTGAATACAAGTCGTATTGATTAATGGTTTTTGATTGGGACATGGTTGATGTTGATGGTTAATATTAAAACTAGTACGCACGTATGCACGGGACAAAGATATTAAATAATTTATTTTTACAGACTATGTATCAGCTTAAGTCTAAAAAGCAAGTTATCATCCATTTTCTACATATTTTAATCAGTGTTAAGTATAAAAACAATATAGTTATAATCTATTTTCCACCTCTTTTAATCAGCGTTGTTTTTTAGTCAGAACATTAAATATGACCATGTTATGGCTAGCTTGTAAAATAATTCAACGTATAATAGTTAATTATTATTTTATTATATACTTTTTTGTCATATAATGTCATTATTATTTATAGAAGTTATAGAAGTTGCACGTCTTCTTGTTCTTTTTATTTTATGTAATGAAAATTATTTAATACACGTTGGTATTATTTATTTAAGTAATCAATTTAAAATATGTAAATAAATTTAAAAATTATTGTGTAAATATTTTACAAAATATACACCCATGTTTTTTTTTTTTAAAATTTAATTTTGTATACTAATGAAACAACTTTGATCAGATGCCAAAAACTCAATACCTTCTATAATCAAGATTTTTCTATTTTTCATTATAAGGATTTATAGTTTATTTAGCATACCTTGCAATGAAAATATATTTCACAATAATTTCATTATAGAAATAAATCATTATAAAAAAATGATAAAAAAATAATCATGGTTGCCAATAATATACAAATAAATTCTAAAAGACAATTAATATATTTTAATTTAATTTTTTATCATTAGTAAAACTATTTACTGTGTTTAGTCATTATCTCTTAAAATAATTATTTTTTTATATATAACGAAATAAAGCTTAAGAAAAAATTATATTGGCAAAGATTAATTCACCAATTTGATTTCGCCTGATTAATTGGAAGGAAAAATTCTACCTAACCTGTTACGATTTTCTATAAATATTTTTGGATAAAAAGTGAATATTTGTGAAAATGAAATTAATATTATGGTTAGAACTTAAAATATGTTGTAATATTTACCTTGACCAAAATATTATCAACATGAATCACGGAAAATCAGTTTTGTAATTTATTATAATGGATATCAATGAAATTATTGCAGATAATAATAAAATTATTTAAGGAAACAATATTTTTGATCATATCTGATTTGATCTTATTTGAAAATGTGTATATGGAAGCAATTAATGCAAATATTTAATAAGTTTCCAAAAAAAAAGTATGCATTAAATGCTTCCAAAATTTTTTACTACTATTTATAAATAGTTATTCTTATTATATATAATTATATACTAGTATTTGATCCTATGCATTTTCACAGATATAAAACACATTTTTGTTTGTATTTATTAATTAGACATGTACTTCTATCATATAAAAATTATCACTTTTTCTTAAGTTATTTTTATCATTCAAAATTAATTGAGATTTAAATTTTATTTTAACCATGCAACGTTTACATTAGTGCCATGAATAAAATAATTTATATATTTGTGGCATATATTAAGAAAATTAACATAAATAAAAAAAAACTAATGGTGTTTCTGATTTTTAGAAAAAAAAAAAATATGTGCCAATCATATTTTTCTTCCAACAATGCAACTAAATATAGCGGTTACAACTCTGAATGTGTCAATCAGNTAATTAATGTGTGTATTAATTATATAATATCCGGATTTTATTTGAATTTGTCGTGCGAGAAATCGAGCTAATTTTTGAGCAAAGTCGAGCCCGTAAAATAGCAAAACCGAGCTGCGTGTGAACCGGTCGAAAGTTTGAGAAAACCGCACGCCCCAAGCCCGAGAACCGAGCCTTCGGCCCGTCGACCCGCGCGCGTAGACCCATGAACCGGCTGACCCGAGCCCGGGTTCTCTCTCTCTCATTCTTGTGCGTGTGTTTTATTTTCTTGCTCTCCAAGATTTTTCAACCCTAGCACGTTTTAATTGAGCGCTCAGGATCTTTTTCCCCTCATTCTCTAATAACCCCGCATCAATCTCTCAATCTGTTTCCTCTCCCTCACGCCCGCAGTCTTTCCCTCACTCAAAACCTCGCCGTCGTCTTTCTTCCTTCTCACGCAGAGAAGAAGAAATGCCGTCGCCTCCTCTCGTTGAGAACCGAGCATCACCATCTTCACGTGAGAACGCGACCCGCCATCGACCTTCACGCGCAAACCCTGCAACCTTGCGAAGTTTTTCCGGCGAATCCAGTCACGCCGCTCACAGCACCACCGCGAGCCCGTCCTTCGTTGTTAACCAGTCTGACGACCTTCCTCCGGCAGACCCTCACCACGTCGCGAGAACCAGACGACCGGGGAGCCCTTTTTTCCCTCCGCAACGAGACCTTCTCCTATGCAATGCTCCTCCGCCGCGACCCCAGACACGCCGCTGCACCTCCTTCGCGAGTCGAGCGCAGCTGCCGAGCGCCGCCGCGTGATTGCCATTCGCCTCCGTCGTCCTGTTTTTTTGAACGTATTCCCGAGAACGGTACCGAGGTCTCGATCCTTCTTATGTTATATACGTGTTTATTTGATGTGTTGAACATGCTTTACGAATATATAAATGCCCTATGATTTTATGTGTTCTATTGGTTCAATGCGATTATTGTGTGTAGTCGATCTCTTCGATTTTGAGAAATCGAATGAGATACTTGTTAAACTCGTGTAAGGCTGTGGATTATGGAACCATGTCGAGTCCTTGGCCTTATAGGAAGGCCTCGGACGAAAATTATGTGTCGTGTGTTGTATGTGAATTTTTAAACTCGGTTTGTTGCTGATTTAGTATTAAATTATTGATAAATTGTACACTACTCGGATTAATGTGAAACTTTGTGTGTAGGTTCTTGTGATGAATATGTATGCCGTGTAAAAATTTCAGATTAAAATTCCAACTGTAACTATTTTATTTAATTAATGTGATTTCTGGGCAGAACAGTGTTAATTGCATAATAAATTGAGTAGTGTTGCAAATTTGTTGAAATTTGAATATGTTGTGCCTCTGACATATTCACACGTTGTGTACAATTTGCAGAATTTTTGAACTCAGTTTGCTGAGGTAAAATAATTTATTGTGTTATTCTGCTGAAAATTATTTTAATATTGATAATCTGATCTGTTGCTGTAAAATGCTGATTTTTTGCTAAAGTGCCTGTTTTGTGATGTGTTTCATGCTGTAAAAATATGAGAATTTTGGGAGTTCATATTGGTTCAGTTTTGTTGAAATCTCGAAGTCTGCAGAATCTTGTTTGAATTTTCATAATTCGCATGTTAAATGTTTAAGGCTGAAATTTTTATATGTTGATATGCATATTGAATCTGTGCTCATTTTTGCTGAAAACATGTTCGAATTTTATAAAATCATGTGTTTTGAGTTAAGGGCTGAAATTTGGTGGGTTTACTGAGTCCAGTGAGTTGGATTTTATATAAAAATTTCAGAGCCTAACTCCTTCGATAACCTGACCAACCTGATTATGTGATTTAATGACTAGTTTTTCAAAGATACAGTTTTTGTGTTAAAAACTGTAAACCGACTCGCATGTTATTCTTTGTTTGTTTGACTTGGTAAATCTTTGATTGAGATTATGTGACCTCCCATGCATGTTTGGTTGAATCTTAGAGCCGAGTCTAAGTGTTCCAATGTCCACAGGACTTAACGAACCAATTAGTCGAATCAAGTTCGACTAAGTATGATTTGTGTTTTCCATTTAAGTCAAGATAGATGTTGATTATAGAATCTTGACTTACTGTAGGTGTTTGAGGAGTCAAGCCTCGACCTACTTCCATTGCTTGTTGA